CATACATTTTTGTAGTCTGGGGTTGAAATGAGGGGTCCTTGGTGATTTCCGAGCTTGGTTTAGGGAGCCCTATATGTGCTCTGTATTTTTGTAATCTATAGAACTATTGCCAGAATTATCATATATTGTTCATCATATTTATATTTAAATGAAATAATAACTTCTCCATTTGTTAATCATTATATTTTGTGGAGAAATGAAACTGTTAATACCGAACAAGCTAGAAATATGTTATCAAGTATGTTTATTTTGTCCTGATGGATAAAATTACTAGGATTTATAATCCTAGTAAGTTAATAATTTCTAAGCTATATTAAAAGTAATTGTTCTATATAGTAAATTTTGAAGGTGTGATTAAATCCTTGCTTTCAGAATTAAATAAAGAAGGATTTTCAGCCTGAGGTGTTTTTTGTTTTTTTTTACTATAATATGCTTGTAGAATTAGCCACTGGTGAGATTTCTTGTGGAAAACTGACTTCCATTATAATATGAAATTAATAAACATGGTTTTAATTTGTGCAATGTAATTGTAGTCTGTTGTGTCTATACTTTGTATTGACAATTCTGGAAATAGACAAAAGCAAATGTCTAAAGAGAGTAACCCAGATGAGACATTTTTATATGAGGAACTGTAACAAGATTACAGTGGTCAACAATAATGCATTGTGAAGAGAGTAAATTAAACTTGTAGGTTTGGTGAGCTTGAGAACAAGTCCAAGCATGTGACTTTATAAATAACAATTTCACAACGAATATAGGCTTGGTAAGCAGCCCATAAATCTGGGCAAACAGCCTACTGAGCATTTTAATGCCAGCTCTGCCATCTCTATTCTTTGAACTGACTACTGATGAGAAAATTAAGGAAAGCTGGAATTAAGCAGGATTCTGTTGACAAAAACAATTTATACTCCTCTTCATGAATTTAACATGTGTCACTTGTCTTTTCTATCAGGGAGCATGGGATCATTAGATTAAATCAAGAGTTGAAAGGATTTTTGATATACAGGAAAAAGAAATACAGCACAGGTGGAATGCAACAGGTGGCATATCTCTTATAACATATATAATAATGCAAGCTTTGTCATAAGAGCTATTCTGTGACTTAATGTTTTCCAAGTCTTCTGTTCCAAGCCAAAGGAGAAAATGTAGAGGAGAACACAATCTGGATATGTAAAGAGGTTATGCTCTTTCCTACTCCCTCCCTCTCCTCCAAGTATAATCTGCAGGTAGGTAGAACAGATCTGGAGGAAAATATTTGTATATATTCTTTTCTGGCTTCCCTAGAAGCTTTGCAGACCCACTTTTCCTTCTTCAGTAAGTATTCTGTTGTTCTTCAACAGTACAGAGGTAAGAATTTACTTAAACAGTGGTAGAGCTGGTAATGATAGGTTGTTTTTTTCTGTAGGATTAATAAGGGCTTCTGTCCAGCACTGTTTCATTTGTAAAGTTAAGTATATTTTCTTCCAAGTCAGCTGCTTACCTTCTAGTGCTTATTTCTTCTGTTCTGAAAAAAATCAGGGCAACTGTAATACGAGATTCATGCTGAGTAGGAGTCAGAGATATGCCTTAGAACAACAGGCCATATTAAAGGACTGAAAGTCAGCTCTTTGTAAACATCGGGCTGTGGTTTCTCTTGAAAGGATCTGTGAGAAGTTGCTGCTATGTTTTTGTTTTAATAAAACCAGTCAACTTCATCTGTTAGTCTAATTTTTAAGATTAATATTTGAAGCATATTGTGGGTTGGTAGTTTCTGAGCTACATTTTCCTATAAATTTATTTCAGAGGGAGAGGGAGAATTAGCTAGGATTTGAATGCATCTTTATTAAAAAGGGATTGGAAGAATTATATGGAACTTTCATAACTTCCTTTTGAATGGAGACCAAATACAACACATTATTGAAAAGTACATTGCAGGCCAAACTAAAGGAGATCAGAAAGTGTTTTTCAGTGATATATGAGCTGAGACTCCTAGGCTGATTGCAGGATTGTAAAGGAAACTGCACAACATTAAACATGGGGAGATTTTGCTAGAAGTAAACAGTGAATGGTTTCCCAGCTAAAAAATAGTAATACTGAATAACACATCTCTGTGGCAAAATGGGCAATCATCTACAAATACTTTCTTCGGTTAACTGAAGTCTTCTTGTGCTTTTCCTTTATTTAATAGTACAAATGGGTGGAATTTTTGGATCCTGCACTTTAGTGTTTGCATGAACTTAGTGAGATGGGGAGTGCCTAAATTGGATGGATGGATGGATATGTGTATCTACCACTTAGAATATTCAGAATCAATCTGCTGCTTTATATCCCATCCCTGCATCTATTACCAATTTTGAAGAAAGCTACTGTGGGTCTGTGAATTGGTGGTGTATGTTGTAGGTATTTTCATTAAGACTCATTCATGTTAATGATGTAATTTCTCATGAAATTAACCTTCAAAGAATAATGATGGCTGCTTTCTTAACATTTTAGTGGGCGTGCATGCTATTCCAATCACAAACAATCCTGAACATCATAAATCCCAAAATCTGTAAATTGGGTTAAAAACAATACAATAAAACTAAATCGGTAATACTACACAACCTACACCCAACACTGCAAATCTTTGTTTATTTGCTTAGGAGAGCAAAGTTGGATTTCTTCAAAATTTTGGGGAGCAGAGTGTTTTAAAGGGGAGTGCTCCGATCAGGTGCTTTTTAGGTCCTGTCACAGGACATTGCTTAATGGATGGGATTCAGAACTTCTTCTGATCTTATAGTAATGGCAGAAACAAAGGGAGAAAAATAGTCCCACAAATAACATTACAGGTAACCCTTGACTTGCCACAGCAGTTAGGACCAGAATTTCTGCCACTGAGCAATGAGGTCATAAAGCTTGACTGCATCACATAGTAACAACAATGCCTATAGTCCTGGTTTTTGTTAACCAAATCCCATGATCACCTTCCTTCCAGCTTCCCACAACCAAAGTCAGTGGGGAAGTGGGCAAGAAATGGCAAGCTCCATGCCAGTTGGCAGGCAAGTTGAGTCAAGGTTGTGAAGAGGGAGAGAGAGAGAGAGAGAGAGAGCACAAAAGGGTGCATTAGAGGGGGGAGGGGCATGGGCATACATGAGTGGGCAATGTGGCATGAGCACAAAGGGGCTAGAGGAGGGTATGCAGGGAGAAAAGAATTATTCCTGGAACTTGTAATCTTCCATGAAGCTGCTTCAGAAAGTCAATGGGGAAGCCGTCAGGGAACTTTGCAAATGGCAATCACATGATTGTAGGGCTGCAACTAATCATAAGTGCAAATTGGTTACCAATCACATGGGTGTGGGACTGCTGGGATGGCCAGAATTCCAAGGATCAGTTATAACTACTGTTCTTTTAGCACCTTATTAACTTTTAACCTTCAACTGAAGGTTGAGGTCTACCGTGTTTCTCATATAATAAGGCTGGGTCTTTTTTTTTTTTTTTGAGCCCTGAAAAAATGGCTAGGCCGTCTTTTTTGGGGTGACTTAATTCCCCCCCTTGCATCTTTGGGTGGGCGGGCGGCGACGGCTTGGATGTTGACCTCGGTGTTGGTGGGGCACTTCGTATCGGGGTCAACGCAGGCAGCACCATATCTAGGGGTGCAACAAAAGTACTTCCTAATGGCAAGCCCCCCCCCTCACCATTCCCCCCCGTTTTGCATGTTTTAATATAGGCCTTAATTTGGGGGGAGGGGCTTAATTTCATTTCATGCCTATAAAACATGCCAGGACTTCCTCTTGGGGGAGGCCGTATTGTTGGAGAAACAGGGTATCTGTAATTGATATGTCAAAAATCAGAGACTTTCCACTACCAGATGGAATAAAAACCACAATGCTTGTCCCCAATACTTGATAAATGTGTTTTAATGAGCTTTCTAATAACTACAGAACAGCAGCAATTGAGAAGACTGCCTTCAGTGGTCCTTTAGATGGCATTCCCTGAGGGAAGGGTCGTGGAGGAAGCCCATTCTTCCAGATTTTGTCGGATAGACAGATGATATTTGGAGTAGGTAGTTCTGCAGGTACTGAATAGTAAAAATGCTATTCAGAAATTTATACTCTATTTCTATGTCTTAAATTCTTCCATTTTGAGGAATTCAAAATAAAGCAGCTAGTAACAGGCAGTATAATATTCCACAGTTTTTTTTTAAAAAAAGCAACTTTATGCATTTGTTATCTTCATATTTTGCTAATACATTTGGTGCTATAGTGCCACTACATTAAAAAAAAAAAAAAGAAAACTTCAAGTGAACATTAATATTGCCCTTGTTGTAATTAATATTCTTCATGATATTGATAGCATTACAATTTTTGCTATATTTATTATGTCTAATTCTGAATGTTGTGGGCATTAACAGACAAATGCATAAAAGTTTGTCATTAAAACATAAATGCCTTACATAATGCAAAGAAGTTGAACACAAGTGAAATATTTGACTTAATATATATTTATATTTAATATAATTATTACTTAAATCTGTCCTTTATAATTATAAGATACATTTATTTTAGATACCTATCTAAATATTTAAATATTTCAATGCGTCCTCTCTGGTTTAATTTTGTGTAATGAAAAAGCCCTTTTATTGAAATTAACATTGTTCTAGGAGCACAAACAAGTCAGGAAATACCAGTTGGTCACCTTTAAGATTGAAACCAAATTTGACAATCTGTCAAATATTCTAAATGCTACCCTAAATGTCCCTACTATGAATTTGTATATGTTCCAGCAGGATTCCGTTTGACTTGAAATTCAGACCTCACAAGTATTTCTGAATTTCAAAAGCAATTTCTAAATTCTGTGACTTGTTTTTCATAACACATCAGCAAAAACTCTTGGACACTCTGCATTAATTCTGCCTGTGGCTGCAATGATTTGAAGCAGATTTTTTTTCAGGACTATATTCATTGCTTATTTTTTAACTGCTCATAAATTTTCATATTGTTTCATTTATGGGGTATTTAACACGTTGCTCTATTTTGCTTTAGTCACATTGATCAGACAACAACATGGCAGGATCCAAGGAAGACTCTCCTTTCCCAAATGAATGTCCCAGCTCCTACAAGCCCTCCAGTGCAGCAGAATATAATGAATTCAGCAACTGGTAAGGAGAAATCAACCAAAATTTCTAGAGAATTACAAGAAGTTTAACATTTAGTATATAAAGTATTTGCTGATCGTTTGTCATTATTGCTGAGATTTATTACTAAAAATGGATGTTACACAGATTGTCTTCCATATAAACATTTATCAAAGAGTTACTTCCTATGAGAAATAAAACACAAATCGATGGGTAGAAAGTGTTATGCCAGTGAAGGAAGGAAGCTTGATTCTTTTGAAACATTCTAATTTTTAAACAGTACATGAGGATTTGTGCAAAATGCCATAAGTATATGCAAGTCTTCATTATCCTCTTCCTAGGCTTTGCCTTATCACGTTGAAAACTTTCTCAGTTTTATTCCTTTTATATCTTGGTGCATTTATTTCTTATTATTTTGTTTGCTATGACTTCATAGTGGTTTTTGTTGGCATTAGTTTTGTCATATATAAATAAATATTTTGCAAACATCACTATTTTTTTAATTCCATGTTTCCAAGTGATATTTAAGCAATATAGAATATATTTTTATAGCAAAGGAATGTCAAACATATACATGTATGTTCTGAAGATCATGCTATAGCTGTGGAAGGCAACTTAGTGATCTTGAGAAGAAGTGTAGCTGTCTTAAGTGGTTGCCTACAGGTGTTACATTACTGTAAGCATTATTTTTACTTGGGATGTAAAGTACCACACAGTCCTGAGACCTCTGAGTGGACCAGGCTTTGAATTGGTGGAAAGCAGACTGGAGTGTACAGGGGGAAGTGTGTTGCTTCTCCCCTGTTGGATTTTGCCATCCAACTCTTTGTTCTAAGCTTGTCTGTCTTGTTATTCCCACCATCTTTTCAACATTTATCAATTTTCTGCCTTCAAAATAATATTCAAAGTTGCTTAGAGGTATATAATATATAAAGAAAATGAACGATAAAAGTGCAGAACATTTGAAATAAAAAATAAAGCATATACTCTTCAAAATAACAAACTAAATAGAGTATTGCAGAAAAACGAACACTGATTTTTTTGGCAACCTGTGAAGGAAAAAAATTTTTTGCATGAAGATGGGTCCCGGATTTATAAAATGGCACTTTTTACAGATTCTGCTACAGATACATTAATAATCCGTACAAGTAGTCCTAGAATTACGACCACAATTGGAACTGCAACTTCCATCGCTAAATTATGTGGTCATTAAGTGAGTTGTGCCCAATTTTATGTCCTGTATTGCCAGACAGACAGACTGACTAAGCTGAAATGGGTTATTTCTGTCCCTGCTAGGATTATGACTCAACAGACATTGGAATAGGCAGTCAGAAAACTTGGCTGGAAATTATAATTTTCCCCAATAACAATGTAATAATATGTAATATCTGTCTGCTACAAGTTTTTGTATAATGAGTGATCTGAAATAATTGTCTTTCCTTGAGAGAAAAGTCCTGGATTATTAATCTGTAGCTTCTCCATTCATTTTAGTAGATAAAATCCAGGCTCTTGGTCTGAATTATAACTAAAGGGGCTTAATAATCCTCATCTCAGTCCGTATCTTGTCCATTTGAAATAAAAATGTAGGCTTTATTAAAATATTTGTATGAGCAAATTCTTTTCTGACTAAGAAAACAGGTGTTTTATTCTAAATGGTTAAAGTTTATTCCATCTGCTGGTTCTCCTTCCTAGAAGATAAGAAAAGATGATAGCATAAAAACTTGCAAATGTTGTTCTACTATTACTTGTTCTATCAGCATGTTAAAAAAAAGACTTTTATTTGAGAACATTGGTTGATTATATGAGAGAGAAAGAGCTCATTTAATGTTACAGAAAAATATTTTTATGGAAATCTCCAGGGATTTTTAGCAGAATAAGTGTGTGTTTTTCTTTAAAACCATGATTTGGAAAGTGGTAAAAGTTTCACAGTAGTAATTTTTGAATCTGTCTGTGCAATAAGACATGTTGCTGATTTGAAAGGACATTCCTTGCTGAGGAGTAATAAAGATTTGTAATTAGTCATACTTCCTAAGCTTGATGAAAAATGATAATTATGGGTATCTAAGAATGTGGAGAGAACACTGCAAATTATTCTTGTGGCAAATGTAGTCTTAGCAACACACTGTTTCATCTTGGCCCAAGATGTAACAGTGAGACATGATTTAATGGCATTGTATGAAGTTCAAAATTGTTTTGTGAAAATGGTATTTAGTATGACAACATACTAATCATAAGCAGAATTAATGGTTGAAAATAGACAATTCTTCAATGGTTTTATTTTATTTACAGTATATAGACACTCATCTCAAGTAAATAACTGGGCAGCTCACAACATTAAATGATGTATCAGTTTTTTGCAAGCCTAACCTGGCATTAGATGCTACTGATATATTTTAAACCATTTACAGGGTCTGTTCTAAAACATGAAAGCAAATAATAACAATATTTGCTCTTTGAACCTCACCTCATTTTTATGGAATTGCTTTATGGTATTAAAAAAAATTAGCCCACTTTATATAGATGGTGATAAATACAGTGATAGATACAGGCACAGATATAGACTTCCTACAATTAGGAAACAAGTTTTCAATTTAACAGTTGAAAAAGTTTGAGGATAGTATGAGAAATAAGAGTTAAAAATAATTGCCACAGTTGTATTGGATGAAATTAGGTGGTTTAGCAATTTTGTTTATTCTCAAGCTACAGAGTATTATGACAGTTGGAGTAATAGATCTAGGAGAACTCTTGTCTTATCAATTTATATATCTATATATCTATCTATATATATATATCTATATATCTATCTATGTATATATATCTATATATATCTATATATATATATGTTTTCTTAAGTTTTTGCAGGTATTTATATGTATGGTATTCAGCTTTGTTCGGGTATTTTCCCACGTCATTATAGTTGT